TTTTCTTTTTGCTTATGTGGTGCTGAGGAATCGAACCCAGGGCCTCAGGCATGCAAAGCAAGCGCTCTACCACTGAGCCACCTTCCCAGCCCCAGTATTCAGGAATTGAATCCAGGGCTTCATGCATGCCAGGCAAGCACTCTACCACTAAACCACATTCCCAGCCCCAGCATTTTTAAAATATACTTTTATTGTAATTATTTAGGTATTATACAGAGGAGTTACCATTTCATAATTCAGGTAATGTGTACATTTCTCTTTTGGACAGTGTTGCCCCTTCCTTTGAAGAGGCAGTATTTATGTATTTATTTGTTGGTCTTGGGGCTTGAATCCTGAACCTAGGCTGAGTCCGTAAGGCTCTTTTCCTCAAGGCGAGCACTCTACCACTTGAGCTATAGCACTACTCTGAGCATTTTTGAGTAGTTTATTGGAGATAAGAGTCTCATGGAGTTTTATGCCTGGGCAGGCTTCGAACCATGACCCTTAGACTTAGCCACTTGAGTAGCTAGGATTACAGGCATGAGCCACTGGTGCGGACTTGAAGAAGTAGTGTATTTAAAATATAAAATTTCAGTAATTCCCCAGACTTAAAGTCCACTTATCCTTGACCTCAGCAGTTCCATATCTAAGGATTTATTAAATTGTTTGCCCATATGTGTGAATTAACACATTGCCCACACATGTGGGTAATGAATTTGGTATTCTTTACATTGCCAAAGATTAAAAACAAGAGCTATAAGTAGACATCATTAAATAATTGGGTGGCCAAATAATTGTATATTAGCAATTTCACTAAAAAAAGTCAGTTGAGCTGGGTGCTGGTAGCTCACATCTATTATCCTAGCTACTGAAGAGGCTGAGCTCTAAGGACTGAGATTCTAAGCCAGCCCATGCAGTAAAGTCCATGAGACTCATCTTCAATTAACCACTTAAAAACCAGAAGTGGAGCTGTGGCTCAAAGTGGTAAAGTTCTATCTTTGAGCAAAATGTTTAGGGACCGTGCCTAGACCCTGAGTTCAAGCCCACAACTAACAACAACAAAAAGACCTAGTTGGAAATAGTGCTTGGGCTGGGAAGGTGGCTCAGTGGTAGAGCACTTGCCTTGCCTGCCTGAGGCCCTGGATTCGATTCCTCAGCACCACATAAGAAAAAAGAAAAAAGCCGGAGCTCAAGTGGTAGAACGCTAGCCTTGAGCTGAAGAGCTGAGGGACAGCGCCCAGGCCCAGAGTTCAGGCCCCATGACCGGACCCAAAAAAAAAAAAAAAAGGGAAATAGTGCTTACAAAACATTGCCCAGTAAAAAACACGTACAAACCAGTATGTGGATGTACTGCTGTTTGTATTAAAAGGCAAATCTATGCACATGCATGTTTTCATGTAGGTAGACTAGAAGCAGTGGCTTATACTACAGTGAGGATAGGGACAAACAAGAGGGATAGTTCCTTATTGTTGTATCCTTTTGTACATTTTGAATTGGTATCAAACTATATTATATACAAGTGCATCCTAATTAAATAAGCATCATTTCTAGGAGTGTATGGGTTTTACTAAGGGACACAGTTGAAACAATAGGTACTCTAGGGAGCCATGAGGTGTGTTGACCTGCACGTTAGAACTGAGCTTGAAAGGCCATTTAATTGTAACTTCTCTGTACAGTATTCTTACAATAAAAAAAAAGCCCGAAACAATTAAAAAAAAAAGAAAAGAAAAATCAGCTTGAAAAATCAGAGTTTAGGGGCTGGGGAGGTGGCTCAGTGGTAGAGCACTTGCCTTGCATGCATGAAGCCCTGGGTTCGATTCCTCGGCACCACATATGCAAAAAGAAAAAAGCTGGAGCTCAAGTGGTAGAGTGCTAGCCTTGAGCTGAAGAGCTGAAGGACAGCGCCCAGGTCCAAAGTTCAGGACACATGACTGGACCCAAAAAAATACAAAAAAGGCTGGAGGAAATAAAATACCACACGTTCACTTTTTGTTGTTTTTGGTGGTGTTGGTTGGTTAGTTGTTATGTGTGGTGGTGGGGATCAAATCCAAACCCAAGCCTTGTGCATGCTAGGAAAAAGCTCTACTACTGAGCCACAGCCCTAGCTCTATAATTCTTTGCTAGTGGGAATATCATTTCTATGGCTTTGGGAAGGTGCTGCCTGTGTAAAAATGGTCTCCCTTCTTCCTACAGGTGCATAAACTGGAGCCTGAGGCATGGAAACATGTGGAGGCCATATACATAGACATTGCAGATCGAAGCCAAGTACTTAGCAAGGTAGGAACTAAACATGTGAAATGCAAAGAGAACTTTTTTTTTAATGGTTTTTAGATAGGGTCTCACTAGGTAGCCCAAGTTGACCTAAAACTCATTATAGCCTAGGCTAGCCTCAACTGTACTATCCTCTTTCCTCCACCTCCTAGAAATTACTTCTAAATGTTAGAGAACAGGCAACTATATCCAACATGGCCTGAAAGGAAATACTTTGTGTTGCTGTCTATCAGTCTATGGATTGACCAATTGCTCATGCTGGGGATTGAGCCAGGGCTTTATAGATCTACATCCCAGCATTTTTTTTTTTTTTGGTCAGTCATGGGGCTTGAACTCTGGGTCTGGGCACAGTCCCTCACCTCTTCAGCTCAAAGCCAGTGCTCTACCACTTGATCCACAGTGCCACTTTGTTTTTTTTCTGGTGGTTAATTGGAGATACGAGTCTCATTGGCCTTTCCTGCCTGGGCTGGCTTTGAACCATGATTCTCAGATCTCAGCCTCCTCAGTATCTAGGATTATAGGTGGGAGCCATCCAATACCCAGCCTTTTTTTTTGGTTGGTCATGGGGCTTGAACTTAGGACCTGGGTGCAGTCTCTATGCTTTATCACTCAAGGCTAGCACTCTACTGCTTTCAGCCATAGTGCCACTTGTGGTTTTCTGGTAGCTAATTGGAGATAGTCTTATGGACTTTCCTGTCCGGGCTGACTTTGAACTCCAGTCCTCAGATCTCAGCCTTTTGAGTAGCTAGGTTTACAGATATGATCCAGCAGCACCCAGCCCAACTATTTTAAATTTAATTTATTTTTGTGCTGGTATTGGGACTTGAACTCAGGGCACTTTTCCTTAGCTCTTTTACTTGAGGATAGTGCTGTATCACTTGAGCCATAGCCCCAAATCCAGCTTTTTGGTGGATAATTGGAGATAAGAGTCTCACAGACTTTCCCTTCAGGTTGGCTTCAAACTACAATCCTCAGATCTCAGCCTTCTGAGTAGCTAGGATTACAGTTGTGAGCCACCAGTACTGGGCTGATTTGTTATTTTCTATCCCTACACCCACCCTCAAAAGTTTGATTAATTTTTTTTAGAATTTTTTTTTTTATTTTTTAATCTTTTTGTCGTTTGTGGAACCTGAACTCTGAGCCTGGACACTGTCCCTCAGCTCTTCAATTCAAGGGTAACACTCTACCGCTTGAGCCACAGCACCACTTCCGGCTTTTTCTGCTTTCGTGGTGCTGAGGTATCGAACCCAGAACCTCATGCATGCAAGGCAATTACTCTACCACTGAGCCACCTTCCCAGCCCCTGGTTATTTTTTTCTTTTAAGTTTTTTCTTTTTATTCTTATTATTTTTGTTTATGTGGTACCCAGGGACTCATGTGTGGTAGGCAAGCACTCTACACTAAGCCACATAATGTAAGCCCCTTTAAAAAAAAAACAAAAACAAACAAAAAAAAACACCTTATTTTTGTGCCAGTTATGGGGCTTGCATTCAGGGCCCAGGGGATTGTGTGTACTCTTTTATTTTTTTTGTCGGTCATGGGGCTTGAACTCTGGGATTGGGCGCTGTCCCTGCCCTCTTCAGCTTAAGGCGAGCACTCTACTGCTTGAGCCACAGTGCCACTTCCAGTTTTCTAGTGATTTATTGGAGATAAGGGTCTCATGGACTTTCCTGTCCAGGATGGCTTTGAACCGTGATCCTCAGATCTCAGCCTATTGAGTAGCTAGGATTACAGGCATGAGCCACTGGTGCCAGGCTTTGCTTGTACTCTTGCTTGGCTCTTTCCACTCAAGGCTGGTGTTCTACCACTTGAGCCATGCTTCTACTTCTAGCTTTTTACTGGTTAATTGGAAATAAGAGTCTCATGATCGGGCTGGGAAGGTGGCTCAGTGGTAGAGCGCTTGCCTTGCATGCATGAGGCCCTGGGTTCTATTCCTCAGCACCACATAGGCAGGAAAAAAAGCCGGAAGTGGCACTGTGGCCCAAGTGGTAGAATGCTAGCCTTGAGCTGAAGTGCTGAGGGACAGCGCCCAGGTCCAGAGTTCAGGCCCACCACCGGACCAAAAAAAAAAAAAAAGTCTCATGATCTTTCCTGCCCAGTCTGGCTTTTAATTATGATTCCTAGATCTCTCAGCCTCCTGGATTATAGGCACAAGCGATGGGCACACAGCTGTGTGTGTGTATTAAGGTGTGTGTGTGTGTGTGTATTAAGGTTTGAACTCTGGAGTTTTTGGCTTTCTTGTTCACAGTGGGTGCTCTACCACTAGAGCCATACCTCCTGCCCTCAAAAAACCTTTTACTAAGCTGGGCGCTGGTGGCTCACGCCTGTAATCCTAGCTATTCAGGAGGCTGAGATCTGAGGATCGCGGTTCAAAGCCAGCCCTGGCAGGAGAGACTGTGAGACTCCTATCTCCAATAAACCACCAGAAAACCGGAAGTGGTGCTATAGCTAAAGTGGTAGAGCGCTCGCCTTGAGCTGAAGAGCTGAGGGACAGTGCCCAGGCCCAGAGTTCAAGCCCCAGGACCGACCAAAAAAAAAAAACACCTTTTACTAAGAAGATTGTAGAGATATAGATCTATAAACCTGTAACTTAGGAAGTAGAAGCAGAAGGGTACATTGTACTAAGAACCTGTCTCAAAACAAAGGAAAATCCTTTTTAGGTAGAACATATACAGTAAGTTAAATATATCATAAACATATAACTTGATGAGTTTTCTCAAAGTTGATACACTTACATATTTCTCAAACTAAATACTAGCAGAAAGTATGGTTCTTTGAGTTTTTAGCCATCTTTGGTTGTATGAGTGGAGGGAAGTAGTGTTGGGGAAGATTTTTTTTCCTTTTTTTTGTTTTCCACCCTGGGGGTTATCTATGAAACTCAGGCTTTCTGCAGCTTGTTTGCAATTTAAGCCACACCTCTGGCCTGGCTTTTTGCTGGTTACTTTTTGTTGTTTTTGTTTTCAGTATACATTAGTGATACAAGAGTGGGGATTTCATTGTGTCATTTCCATACATGTATACAATGTATACATGTATTCTAAGCAATCTCACCCATCTCTCATTGTCCTATCTTTATACATGCAGACTATCTGCTTCTACCATGTTCACCTAATTCACCATCCCTATTAGCCTAGCTCCTGTTCTTGGACATGTGGCGTTCTATTCAAAAATACTTACCTGTGCCTGTAACTTCCAGGATTTTCCTAGTTTTCATAATAGATTTAAAGTTTCAAGTCTTTCTTTGATCCACTTGGAGTTGATTTTTGCACAGGGTCGGAGATAGGAGTCCAGTTTCCATCTCCTGAATGTGGATTCTCAGCACCATTTGTTGAAAGGTGTCCTTTCTTCAATGTGTGTTTTCAGCTTGTCAAAAATTAATGGCTGTAGCTGTGTGATCCCCCTCCCACCCCCCATTAATGTGTGTGTGCTTGTGTGTTAGTGCTAGGGTTTGAACTAAAGACCTCATGCTCTCTCTCAGCTGGCACATTACCACTTGACACACAGTTTCTAGTCTGGTATTTCATTGGTTAACTGGAAATACAGTCTCTCAGACTTTACTGCCTGGGCTGGCTTCAAATGAAGATCCGCTGGATCTCAGCCATCTGAGTAGCCAGGATTACAGACATAAGCCACTTGGAGCCTGGCAGCTGTGGTTTTTATTGCATGGGCTTCTATACCGTTCCATTGGTCTTCAGGTCTGTTTTTGTGCTAGTACTATGCTGTTTTTTGTCACTATGGATTTGTGGTATATTTTGAAGTCTAGTATTGTGATAACGTCCAGAGTGATTCTTTTGACTAAGAATTGCTTTTGCTATTTGAAGTCTTATTCTTTCTTATGAATTTTTCTAGTTTTTTGTTTTGTTTTGTTTTTGGTGCTAGTCCTGGGGCTTGAACTCAGGGCCTAAATTCCTGTCCCTGAGCTTTTTGCTCAAGGATAGCGCTTTACTACTTGTGCTCTGCCACAGCTCCATTTCTAACTTTTTTTTGGAAGTTCATTTAAAATAAGAGTTTTGTTTTGTTTTCCCTGTGTGTTCTGGCCTAATCTCTGAGCCTGGGTTCTGTCCCTGAGCTCTTCAGCTCAAGGCTAGCGCTCTACCACTTGAGCCACGGCGCCACTTGCTTTTTTCGCTTATATGATGCTATGGAACCAAACCCACAACCTTGTGCATGCAAGGGAAGCACTCTACCACTGAGCCACCTTCCCAGACCCAAGTCTTTTTTTAAAAAAGAGACATCAAATAGATTTTTCCTATCTTCATTGCATCTGTATTCATTTGCTCACTATTTACTGCGCAGGTACTATGTGCTTTATTTACACTGTTAGGCCCTGAGGATATTGCTCTATGAAAACAGACAAAATCCCTGTTGCCTGAATCTTACCTTCTGTCAGTGAGGAAACGGACAATAAGGAAAGGATGGGGGCTTGAACTCAAGGCCTGGGCACTGTCCCTGAGCTTTTTCATTCAAGGTTCGTGCTCTACCACTTTCAGTTACAGCTCCACTTCCAGTTTTAGGTTGGCTCATTGGAAATAAGAGTCTTACGACTTCATTGCCCAGGCTTGCTTTGAACCATGATCCTCAGATTTCAGCCTCTTGAGCAGCTAGGATTAGTCATGAGCCACCGATGCCTGCCTACAGTAATAAATTTTCTAGAGTAGGAAAGTCATATAGGGAAGGTCCTAGTTGAGGCAAAGGGTGCAAGTCACAAGCTGGAGAAGAGAGGGGAAGGTAAGTCTTCCACATTAGGTCAGTTAATGATTGGAGCAGGCTGGGAAAAATGTCTGTAGGAAATGAAATCAGAGTGGTAGCAGAAAGCCAGAGCATGAAGACCTTGTAAACTACAAAAAGGGAATGGGCTCTTATTCTGACATAAGTCATTGCATGTCATAACAATCATGCATGTCCCTGGAAAATAACAGTCTTATACACATTCCTGCCTCGGCTAGCTTCAAACCATGATCCTCAGATCTCAGCCTTCTGAGCACCTAGGTGTGATTGTAGGTATGAGCCAACAAACAGCACACAGCATTTATGAGGTTTTTTGTTATTGTTGTTTTTTAACCATCCTGGGGCTTGAACTCAGAGCCTGGGCACTGTCCCTGAACTGCTTTTGCTCAAGGCTAGCGCTCTACCACTTGAGCCACAGCACCACTTCTGGCTCTTTCTGTGTTTGTGGCACTGAGGAATCGAACTCAAGGCTTCATGCATGCTAGCAAGCACTCTACCACTAAACTACATTCACAGCCCGAGGTTTTTTTTGTTTTGTAATTTTCTTTTTTTATTTCTGTGAAGAATGACATTGGAACTTTGATAGGTATTGCATTGAATCTATAGCTATTTTCCCAATATTTATTCCGCCAATCCACGAATATAGGAGTTCTTTCCATCTTCTGATGTCTTGAGTTTCTTCCTTTAAGGTTTATAGTTCTCATTATATAGGTCTTTTTCACTTTCTTGGTTAGTGCCAATGTATTTTATTGTTTTAGAAATTATTATGAATAGAATTGTTTTACTGGCCGGGCGCTAGTGGCTCATGCCTGTAATCCTAGCTACTCAGGATCTGAGGATCACAGTTCAAAGCCAATCCGGTCAGGAAAACCTGTGAGACTCTTATCTCCAATTAACCACACAAAACTGGAAGTGGCACTATGGCTCAAGTGGTAGAGTGCTCACCTTGAGCTGAAGAGCTCAGGGCCAGAGCCCAGGCCCAGAGTTCAAGCCCCAAGACTGACCAAAAAAAAATTGTTCTGCTGATTTCTTTCTTGACCATTCATTGTTGGGTTATAAGGAGAAGCTACTGATTTTTTTTATATTAATTTTATATTTGCCTGGTTACTTTGGAGATGGAGTCTACTGCCTGGAGACTTTCCTTCTTGAACTGGTTTTGAACCTTAGTCCTCTTGATCTCAGCCTCCTGAGAAGCTAGGATTAGAGGCATAGGTCAACTGGTGCCCAGATGGAAAAGATTTTTTTTTTTTTTTGGGTCCGGTCGTGGGGCCTGAACTCTGGGCCTGGGCGCTGTCCCCTCAGCTCTTCAGCTCAAGGCTAGCACTCTACCACTGGAGCCACAGCGCCACTTCGGGCTTTTTTCTTTTTGCTTATATGGTGCTGAGGAATCGAACCCAGGGCCTCTGGCATGCAAGGCATGTGCTCTACCACTGAGCCACCTTTCCAGCCTGGAAAAGATTTTTTTTTAAGTTCACATAAGTCATTTTAACTTTACAAAGTACTTTGTATGTGATTTATTATTTTCTTAAATATTATTATGAACCAATATGAGTTTATATAGATTAGCTAAAAATTTGTGATGAATTAACACAAAGAACTGATTACATCACTTGTGTGTGTGTGTGTGCGCGCGCGCGTGTGTGCGCGCACACGCACACACATGTGTACGTGCATACACACCAGGCCTAGGGCTTGAATTCAGGGCTGTGTACTATCCTTGAGCTTAAGGCCAGCACTCTACCTCTGGTGCCAGGACTTCACTTAAGGTGATTAATTGGAGATGAGAATCTCACAGACTTTCCTGCCCAAGCTGGTGTCAAACCTTGATCCTCAGATCTCAGCTTTTTGAGTTGCTAGGATTACAGATATGAGCCACCAGCAGCAAGCTCTGATTACTTCATATGTGTGTGTGTATGTGTGTGTGTGTGCACGCGCGCGTTCACGCGCACACGAGCGTCAGTTGTGGGGCTTGAACTCTGGGCCTTGGCACTGTCCCTGAGCTCTTGACCTCAAGGTGAGCACTTTACCACTTGAGCCACAGCACCACTTCCGGTTTTCTAGTCGTTAATTGGAGATAAGAATCTCATGGACTTTCCTGTCTGTGCAGGCTTTGAACCGTGATCCTCAGATCTCAGCCTCCTGAGTAGCTAGGAATCCAGGGATGACTCGCTGGTGCCCACCTTCTGATTACATTTTTAATCAGTAAAGTTGAGGGGAAGGGATAGAGTTGACAGTAGGTACTAAAGTATAGTTAGATAGGAACAAGAAGTTAGGTGGCTTTAGAATATGATAATGTATATTTCAAAAGGCTAGAAGTTTGAATGGTATATGTTTGGAGCTGGAGGTATGGCTCAAGTGGTAGAGCAAACATCCCAGCAAGAAAACCTAGCCATAACCTAGGTGCCAGTGGCTCATGCCTATAATCCTAGCTACTCAGGAGGCTGAGATCTTAGGATCATGGTTCAAAGCCAGCCCTGGCAAGAAAGTCCGTGAGACTCTAATCTCCATTAAACCCTTAGAAAACCAGAAGTGGCACTGTGACACAAGCAGTAGAGCACTCACCTTGAGCTGTAAAGTACAGAGACAGCGCCCAAGCCCAGAGTTCAAGCCCTATGACAGACCAAAAAAAAAAAAAAAGAAAGAAAGAAAAGAAAACCCATCCAGAATGAAGCCCTCAGTTAAAACTCCAGAACTTCCCAAAAAAGAAATGATGATAGCTGAAGAAATAGATATGTTTTATCTGTCCTAAACATTATATGCTATATAAATAGCTCTTTAGCTCAAGGCTAGCACTCTACCATTTGAGCCACAGCACCACTTCTGGCCTTTTCTGCTTATGTGGTGCTGAGGAATCAAACCCAGGGCCTCATGTATGCAAGGCAAGCACTCTACCACTGAGCCACCTTCCCAGCCCAAAATTAATTTAAATTTAAAAAAAACTACTAAGTGAAACCAACTTATAGTTCACAAAAGTATAAATTCTACACATTGAACATTTTCAACAATTATTGAAACAGGCCAAAGGGAGAATAGACTAGGAGATTTCAGGAATGACAACCAGTTGTTATGAGCTCTGGCTATATTTAGAATCATCTGCAGATTGGCAGGAAAGTCCGTGAGACTCCTCTCTCCAATTAACCACCAGAAAGAAAACTGGAAGTGGTGCTGTGGCTCAAGTGGTTGAGTGCCAGCCTTGAGCTAAAGAGCTGAGGGACAGTGCCCAAGCCCTAAGCTCAAGCCTTATGATCAACACCCCCCCCACCCCACCCCCAAAAAATGTGGCCTTCACCTGCAGATATTCTTAGTTTTATAGGTTTCTTGGTTTCTTCTGAGTTTTAAGTAGAAGACTTTAAAAATTTTTTCTGTAGATGAGTGCCAGTGGCTCATGCCTATAATCCTAGCTACTAAGGAGGCTGAGATCTGTGGATCACAGTTCAAAGCCAGACCAGGCAGGAAAGTTCCTGAGATTCTTACCTCCAATAAACTGCCAGAAAACCAGAAGTGGCACTGTTGCTCAAGTGGTAGAGTGCTTGCCTTGAGCTGAAGAGCTGAGGAACAGCACTCAGGCCTGAGTTCAAGCCCCATGGTCGACAAAAAAAAAAAGTCTTCCATGACAATTTAGATTCTCACCCAGATTAACAATCTGTCTTAAAAACATTGGAAATATGTGCTTGCTCAGACAGTATTGTGACAGTTTCATACTTGTAAAACTAAAAACAAACCCTTGCAGAGAAACTCACATAGAACTCTTCTTTGAGGCGAATATAAACAGTTCTTTATCTTGTTTATAACATTTGTCCATATTTGCAGTGTGCCAGCAGCATGAAGAAAAGGTATGAAGTGTACTCTTAACGAAAATCTTTTCTCTCTCCTTTGTCCTCTTCCTTTCCTTTCCCCTCTCTCCTCTAACCCCCTTCCCAAACTCTCAGGATTACAAGGCAGAAGAAGACCCAGCAAAATTCAAATCTATGAAAACAGGGCGAGGACCCTTGGGCCCAAATTGGAAGGTACAGTTCACACACTTACCATCAGAGGGTTGGGCACCATGTGGGTGGGCCTCTGCCTTAGAAGGAAGGAATGGCTGGGGCTAGGCTAAGGGACAACCCGAGTTTTTTCCTCTTAGTTACCAACCTGCCTCTGGGTATGTTTCCAATGCAGCAAGAACTTGTAAATCAGAAAGACTGCCCATATATGTGCGCATACAAACTGGTTACTGTCAAGTTCAAGTGGTGGGGCCTGCAGAACAAAGTGGAAAACTTTATACATAAGGTAAATGAACAGGCCTTTCTTCAGGGTGGAGGTGGGGGTGATGGGTGTTTGCATCAACAAGAGGTCATACAAATATATGACCTGTATCTAGAATTCCTAGCCTAACAATATTACAAGTGGCTTTCCAGACCCTCATTTTCCCTTGCATGAAACAGTTTTAGCTGTCCATCCAGGAGTATCACACATGACTGGGAAGGAAACCCAGTCAAAAGAAGGAAACTGGAATAGACTTGCTGTGATTGAATTACAAATAAAACTGTTTCCTTTTTTTTAAGCCAAAAGGCAGGAGGCACTTTGAACCCAAATCTCCTGAATTACCCAAGTAGGCATATCTAAGTTTTATAGCCTTTAAATTCTTTGATGTGTTAAGGATATACTCTTGGGCCACATTTCATAGCTGCTGGCCAATTACAAGTTGGCATCAGAGACAAGAGAAAAATCTGGCAGTTGTTTCGAGGCCTTGGCTTAGCTAGAAGCTCACAAGCTGCCTGTCTTAGTAACATAATGGGCAAAGAGCCTAAATTTGAAATAGGCACCTACCCTTTCTTGGGGGCTTGCTCCTACTTGAAGCCTCACCTGTTAGACAAATAAAGGCAGAGGTCACTGACCGTGGCTAGTCCTGATAAGTCAGCCAGACATTACTCCTGTCCATATCTCCAGTGGTATGCATATTAGAGATCATGAGGACAAGGGCTGTAGTGATGGCCTTTACTTTCTGTGTTCTAACTTGGTTCCCTTCTTTTTATAGCAAGAGAAACGTCTGTTTACAAACTTCCACAGGCAGCTGTTCTGTTGGCTTGATAAGTGGGTTGACCTGACGATGGATGACATTCGAAGGATGGAAGAAGAGACGAAGAGGCAGCTGGACGAAGTGAGTGGAATCACAGGGCATTCTGTGGCTCTTGGTTACATGCATATATGCACATTAAGGAGACTCATGTCAGGACACATCGCTGAGGACATCACCTGTTCTAGAAACATGTCAGGTTGTACTGTGAGTGAAGTGCCAAGCTGTATGGGTAATATAAGGAAGAGAACAGTCTGTGCTCTTGAATTTGCAGTTTAGCTGAGGTCTCATCATATCCACAGGGACAAATACGGTAGTTTGTGCTGAATGCCAAGTGAGTAATAAAGCTACTGCAGTGATTCTTCAGAGCCAGGTGGGAGATTGTACTGGGCTGTGGAGTTGGAGGTGACCTGGGAGGAGACAGGCTGCACTGATCCAGATACCATAAACATTACCCACAGAGGATAGCCATAGCACATGCAGAAGCTAATGCACTCTCTGTGATTTTTAGTTATTTTTAGAGTTTACAGGTTTTGGGCTTTTTGCCTTTGTTTCCTTGGACTTGGCGTGGATCCCAGAAGGAGAGTTGTGTGCTCCATTGGAGCTTGAAGACCCAGCACTCATGCTCACTTAAAGAAGGCTTCCCCCAGAGGCCCACTCAGAGGAAATGGTAGTGGATAACCATCAGGCACTCCCTGTCTGCAAGGCACTATTCTAGGGGCATTTAAAAAAAAAATTCGGGTACCAGTGACTCATGTCTATAATCCTAGCTACTCAGGGGGCTAAGATTTGAGGAACTCAGTTTGGAGCCAGCCTGTACAGGAAAGTCCATGAGAATCTTTTTTTTTTTTTTTGCCGGTCATGGGGCCTGAACTCTGGGCCTGGGCGTTGTCCCTCACCTCTTCAGCTCAAGGCTAACCCTCTACCACTGGAGCCACAGCACCACTTCCGGCTCTTTCTGTTTATGTGGGGCTGAGGAATCGAACCCAGGGCCTCATGCTTGCAAGGCATGCACTCTACCGCTGAGCTACCTTCTCAGCCCGAGAATCTTTTTTGTCAGTCATGGGGCTTGAACTCTGGGCTTAGGTGCTATCCCATACCTACAGTTCAAGGCTAGCACTCTACCACTTGAGCCACTGAGCCACTTCTGATTTTCTGAGTGGTTTATTGGAGATAAGAGTCTCAGGTTTTCCTGCCCGGGCTGGCTTTGAACCCAGATCCTCAGATCTCAACCTCTTGATTAGCTAGGATTACAGGCATGAATGAACGCCCTGCTTCCAGGAGTCTCTTATCTCCAATAAATTACTCAGAAAATGCCAGAAGTGGTGCTGTGGTTCAAGTGGTAAAGAGCTAGCTTTGAGCACAAAGAAACTCAGGGACAGTGCCTAGGCCCTGAGTTAAAGCCGCAGGACTGGCAAGAAAAAAGAATGTAATTTTATTTTTAAAAAGGATTATACAGGGGGACACCACTTCATAAGTCAGGTAATGAGTACATTCCCTTTTTTGGACACCCCTTCCTTCACTTTTCCTGTTTTCCTCTCCTGTCCCTGCCCACAGGTCACATAGTTCATTTTCCACATGGTGTATACTGAATACCATGACTACTTTTGTTCACCCTCATTCTTGGGGCTTTTACACACAGTGTTTCAGCTACTCATCACAGCATCTGTGAGGAGGCACCCTTAGCTGAGAAACGTGTGACTAAGAACTCAGTGCTGCTATACCAGGGCCTGATAGTAGCTCAGCATTGTCTGGTCCAAGGTCACTGCTTTTTAACCACTTGTCTTACTCCTCTCCCCATTTGGGACCCTCTAACCTTTTTGTGCTAAAAATAAGAGGGGAAGTTCTCTATCTTAAGAAACACCATCTGTTTTTCCCTCTTCGTCCCAAGTGGAGGTTGGCTTGGGTCCTAGGTGTCCAGCAAAGGCCTTGTTTTGTAATAGACTCACCCAATTCTCCTTCAGGGCCTCAGGTGAGGCCCAGACATGGGTGCCACTGGTGCCCAGGTGACACACATGCTCTGTGCTTCACAGTGCTGGTCTAGGGTGGAACCTGGGCCCAGAAGCTTTCTTTGCTCTGGAGTCCTATTGTGAATTGTCTTTGCCATTCAAGATGACACTCTTCCTGGGCTGACTCACTGGTAAGTGGTATGCCGAGTTAGTTCCTGCTGAAGGCGGATGTTTTGGTTATTCATTCAGCTACTTTTGGCAGTGAAGTGGCAGGATTTTGGAAACCATCCATGATTCTTATGCTAAGCATCCGCAGGAAGTGGTAGACCTGCATGTTCAGGACTCTGGCGGTTCTCTCTGTATAAGAGCTTGAATCTTTGGTCACTCTAGGCCTTACAAAATAAAGTTAACAAATAGAGCAATACAAAGACTTTGCTTGGGATTTGGTGAAGAGCTGCAGCCATTGCCTGAAAAAGCCAGAATTAAGTACACTATTTGCTGTCTTATGCTGTCTGGATAGAGTTAAAAGTCTTGGAGCTAAGTCGGGCGCTGGTGGCTCACGCCTGTAATCCTAGCTACTCGAGGTTGAGATCTGAGGCTGGCTGTTCCAGGCAGGAAAGACTGTGTGACTCTTATCTCCAATAAACCACCAGAAAACCAGTAGTGGCGCTGTAGCTCAAGTGGTAGAGTGCTAGCCTTGAGCCGAAGAGCTGAGGGACAGCGCCCAGGCCCAGAGTTCAAGCCCCATGAACGACTAAAAAAAAAAAAAAATTCTTGGCGCTATTAGTATGAACCTCCAAAAAAAGCAATGCTCAAATTCTTTTTTTTTTTTTTTTTGGGTCCGGTCGTGGGGCCTGAACTCTGGTCCTGGGCGCTGTCCCTCAGCTCAAGGCTAGCACTCTACCACTTGAGCCACAGCGCCACTTCCGGCTTTTTTTTTTATGTGGTGCTGAGGAATCAAACCCAGGGCCTCAAGCATGCAAGGCAAGTGCTCTACCACTGAGCTACCTTCCCAGCCCCAATGCTCAAATTCTTGAAGCTGCAAGAACTCTCCAGATGATCTACTGAATCTGCCTCCCTAAGATCCCAAAGATGAGAGTCATCAGAGTTGGGAGCTGTTGTTTTTTAATGCTTTTGCATTTCATGGATGATTGTGCCAAAAGCTTTAATTACTATCCTCCAGGACAACTGCTAATGTAGGCGACTTTTTGGAATTAGAAACTAACTAACTTGTAGTAGCCAGGCCCTCGTGATTCATGTCTGTAATTCTGGCAATTCAGGAGGCTGAGATCTGAGGATTACAGTTCAAGCCACCCCAGACATGAGACTCTTTCTAATTAACAAAAAAGCCAGAAAAGTAGAGCAATAGCTCAAGTTGTAGAATACTAACCATGAGCCAAAAAACTAAGAGACCATATCTAGACACCAAGTTCAAGCTGTAATGTTCTCTCTCTCTCTCTCTCTCACACACACACAATGGCTCAAATGGTAAAATGCCAATCTTTAGTGAAAAAGCTAAGCATGAGGCTCTGAGTTCAAAGCATAGTACCAGCACACACAAATACATTTATATATTTTGGGCTGAAGATACAGTTTGATGTTAGGGTACTTTCAGTTCCCAGAAACACACACACCTGTAGGATTACAGGTGTGAGCCACCAGTGCACTGCTATTCCTGAGCTTTTTGCCCAAGGCTAGCTCTCTACCACTTGATCCACAGCTCTACTTCTGACTTTTTGGTGCTTAGTTGGAGATATGAGCCTCAGAGTCTTCTGTGTTCTTTTAATGTCTTTTCTTTTTTCTTAAATGTGTTGTCTTTTTTTTTTTTTTGCTGGTCTTGAACTCTGGGCCTGAGCACTGTCTCTGAGCTTGTTTTGCTCAAGGTAAGTGCTCTACCACTTGAGCCACAACGTCATTTCCAGCTTTTTTGAGTAGTTTATTGGAGAAAAAAAGTCTCATGGACTCCAGTAAGCCCAGTCTGGCTTCAAAGCACGATCTTCAGATCTCAGCCTCCTGAGTAGCTAGGATTACAGATGTTAGCCACCTGTTTATTAAGGCTACTGGTTGGGCTGGGAAGATGGCTCAGTGGTAGAGTGCTTGCCTCAGTACCACATAATTAGAAAAAGCTGGAAGTGGTGCTGTGGCTCAAGTGGTAGAATGCTAGCCTTGAACTGCAAAACTGAGGGACAGTACCTAGGCCCAGAGTTCAAGCCCCACGACCTACAAAAAAAAAAAGACTACAGATTGAGAGTTGCTGTTCCTTTGTTTGTTTGGGGTTTTTTGTTTTTTTTTTTTTTTTTTAGCTTCTCCGAATACAGTTTCCTCTGAGTTTTTTTTTTTCAATCTTTAAATATTCGTACAAAGGGATATCAATTTCCTCTGAGTTCTTATGTTCAGTTCTTGTTGGATTCTGTCTCATTTTAGGGGCACCCATTTAATTAATAGATGGTTTCATTGTAAGATACTCAGGTAGTGACAATGGGGAACCTCAGTCTTTTGTGGGGCTGCTTATTTTGCCTCCCCAACCTCTTGCATTGGGGGTAATCCGGCAGCTAACATCCTGAGAAATTGAGGAAGGGTCTGACAGGTTCATACCAGTGATTGGATCTAACTTAATCCGTACATATGCTGTACCATGCCCACTCTGACTCTAGCTGAGCCCAGGATCCTAAGTCCCTGTTTCCTTTAGTACCTCTGCAAAGTGAACCTTCTGACTTCAGAGCAGGGAGATGGAATACCAGGGCCCAACTATTGTCTATTCGGACTTGGCAGAAATCACCTGTGTCAACACTGCTGAACACTCCCTCCTGTAGAGGTGCCTGGTGTTTCCAATTCCTGAACCTTTGGAGAACTACCAACAGAGACAAGTTTGCTCCTTCTTGGCTCCCTGTCCTCTTGAGAATTAGTGCTCATCCCTCCTGTTCCCATCCTCCAGAATGTTACCATTTCTCTGCTAATGTCACCTCTGTTCTTGTCTTTATTAGTTTGCTTGTTTATTAATCTTTTTTCCCACCTTTAATCTCATGGTATTAGGGTATTAGTTTGCAATAGGAATTATGACTTACTCTTTTTTGTTTGTTTTGTATGGGACTTGGGGCTTAAACTCAGGGCCTGGAAGCTTCCCTTGAGGTCTTTTGCTCAAGACTAGCACTCTACCACTTTGAACTACAGGGCCACTTCTGGTTTTCTGGTGGTTAGTTGGAAGTAAGAGTCTCCCAGAATTTCTTGCCTGGGCTGGCTTCAAACTACAGTCCTCAGATCTCAGCCTCCTGATTAACTAGGATTATAGGCATGAGCCACCAGCACCTGGCTTATGACATATTCTTCAACCTAATGCACAATAGTCTAGTGCAGGTAGATTTTTAAATCCGTTTTTAACAAACTCATTTCTTGTTTTACTGCTCTATATCTAGTCATTTTCAGGGATAAACTCTGTTCTTGGGTGAGACTCAGATTTTAAAAACAGATAATTGAGATTTGTTCTGTTGTTCATATTGTATCCATGGCTCATTACTGTAATCCTAGTTACTCAAGAACCTGAGATCTGAGTATCATGGTTCAAAGTCAGCCCACTTAGGGAAGTCCATGAGATTTTTATCTTCCAATTAACCATCAAAAAGCCAAAAGTGGAGCTGTTGCTCAAGTGGTAGAGTGCTATCTTTGAACAGTAAGAACAAAAGAGCTCAGGGCTGGGAATGTAGCTTAGTGATAGAGTGATTTCCTAGCATGCATGAAGCCCTGGGTTCGATTCCTCAATACCACATAAACAGAAAAGGCTGGAAGTAGTACTGTGGCTCATGAGGCAGAGCACTAGCCTTGAGCAAAAGCAGCTCAGGAACAGTGGGAGAGAGAGAAGGTGGGGGATGGGAGGAAAGAGGAGGGAGGGAAAGAGAGAGATTAGTTCTCTTCTCTAAAAAGAAAATATCAGAGGCTGAGATCTGAATATCAAAGTTGTGCAAGAAAGTCTGTGAGATTTATCTCCAATTAACTACCAGAAAACCAGAAGTTGCACTATGACTCCAAGTTGTAGAGTACTAGTTTTGAGTAAAAAAAGTTGAGGGACAGCATCTAAGCTGGAAGTTCAAGCCCCATGATGAAAAAAAAAAAGCAAGCAGAGATTCTTGAGTCCCAACCCCAGTACCATCAAAAAAAAGAAGGGAACTACTCAGGAGGCTGAGATCTAAGGATCATGGTTCAAAGCCATCCTGTGCAGGAAAGTCCATGAGACTCTTTATCTCAAATTAATCACCAGAAAACCAGAAGTGGTACTGTGGCTCTAGTGGTAGAGCACTTGCCTTGAACTGAAGAGCTCAGGGACAGCGCCCAGGCCCAGAGTTCAAGCCCCATGACCAACCAAAAAAAAGAAAGGAAGAAAGAAAGGAAATAGAGAGGGAAGGGAAGGTTTGGCATTTCTTTTTCATGTCCTTCAATTCTATGTAAAGTATACATTCACTGGACCTGAGGGTCTCACAAACATCAGAACTCACTCATGTCATATAGACCCAGGAAACAGGAAATAACCATTCTTAGGTCATCTCATTATAAGAATAAATCAGAGTTATTTCATTGGCACCCTCTGGAAACAACCTCATCTCTATCAGTGGAGGAAACTGTCACATTCTCTGATAAGAAGTTCCATATTATTAAAAACAGTGAAAAAATAAAACCTGGCTTTGCACTAGTAAATTATTAAATTGTCATGGATGGTGGGACCAGTTACAGAGTTAGAAACAGGATGGCTTGGGCTATGTAGACTTCTATCTTTCCACTGGTTTGTTTTTTCTACAAAAAATGCTCCACTCTATCTATTAGCACGATTGAGAAGGTATATATGTTTACAGTGGAGTTCAATCAGCAGCAAGAGCTTTCAATTTTTTCTGCCTTTTCTGTTTCAGATGAGACAAAAGGACCCAGTGAAAGGAATGACAGCAGATGACTAAACTCACTCCTCCCCCTTCTGCACTGTATGTACTGAATTTCTTTCTTTCTATGCATGTCATAGAAGCTAAAGTCAGCTTGGCTCCTCAAGGCCTCAGCAGTTCACTATGGAATCAGAAAACCTACTTCATTCCTCATCCTTCACTCTAATAATGATGACTGCCATGCTAAACAGTGAGCTCTTGGGTTTCCAATGGACAGGGAATATGGCTATTAGGACATTCTAGGGGCATGTTAAGGTAGACACAGTCAGGGTGGTAAGAAGAGAGGGTGGAGTGTGGTAGAAACAAGTTCATGTGCTACTAATCACTCTTCCCTTTTTGCAACTTGGACCATCTCAAGTTGAAGTTGTCATGCGGGGGGCAGCCCCTACCTCCCAAATGCTGGCATTCCCTGCCCTTCCCTGGGAAAGCTGGCTAGCTTTTCTTAGCATTCATTGTTAGGTCAAGCACTTCATTTCCTTCCTCCTCTGATGCCATACAAAGTAACTTTCCTCAACAGAGGCAGCATCTTTCAGATAATGGGAGAGTGTTTTCTGCCCAGGTCATAGGGCTAGGTAGGACATGGTATTCTTTGTTTCACATTGGCATTTTTCCCCAATGCCTTTCTGTTTATTAGTTCCCAATGCTGATTACCTGTTGCCTGCACACCTTGAGACTCATTCTAGCACTGAGTGGTCTTGGTCATGGAGTGAAAAACCTGGCTCTACTATCAGCTAAGCACTGAGAGAAAACTATTTGATCCAATGAAAAACTCAGCCATTCACAAGTGACTCATACTTGTAATTCTAGCTGTTCAGGAGCTTGAGATAGAGAGCAACACAGTTCAAAGCCAGTCCTGGCAGAAAAGTCTATAAAGCTCCATCTCCAATTAACAAGCAAAAAGTCAGACTAGAAGCATGGCTTGAATGATAGAGCACCAGCTGTGAGCAAGAAAGCAAAAACACAAGGCCCTGAGTTCAGTCCTACTACTGGCAAAAACCAAGCCAAATCAAAAAACAAAAAAAACCTTTTGTGACCTTTAGCACCAAAAGGCTAATGGTCACTAGCAGTGATGCATATTTCTGTGCTCTCTGGCTGGGCTATGTTCTTTTTTTTTTGGTCGGTGGTAGAACTTGAACTCTAGTTTGAGCCCTGTCCCCTCAGCTCTACCACTTGAACTACAGCACCACTTCCAGCTTTTTCTGTTTATGTGGTGCTGAGGAACTGAACCCAGAGCCTCATGCATGGGAGGCAAGCACTCTACCACTGAATCACCTTCCCAGCCCTGAGCTATGTTCTTACAGCAACTTCTAGGAGATAGAAGGGTAGGATTAAATGGATGCTACTTTCCCAGTCATTTCAGGAGCTGTCTCCTGAAGCTTCTCCCTGTAACTGGCGTCCTTCCTCCTGTTGAAATTCCTTAAGATGATTTACAGTGTGCTTCTGTTTTCCCTTGTTGTTTCCTTAATAATTGTATTTTTCTTCTAGTTTTGCAAGACAGTGGTCAACAGGAAGGCCCAGCAGCTCCACCCTCCTGAGTGACAGGCCATCTTCGGACGCAGCCTTTCTGTGCCCATTCTTCAGGCAACTTCCGATCCATCCCTTACTGTAGCTAATTCTAGATGCCCTTTAATATTGTGAACAAATAGACCGTCTGGTATTACAAAGCCTGTGTGCTCGGGAGCCTGCTCCTCTGAGAAACGTGGCGGGTAGGTTGCTGTATTAACAGCTCCTCCCTCTCTCTCCATTGTATTCTGACCCATTTCTGTGTGTGCCCCCAACCTTTATTTCCAAGTGACATTTTTAGTCTTTCAAAATAGCTGCCTTTTTGTGATGTGGTGATTTAAGTTCACTTGTTTTCAACCTTGGGATAAATTGAGGTATTTTGCTTCCTGGGCAGACCTTTGCAATTTTGAGTGCTCACTTGGGGAGAGAGAATGGGTTAAAAATACAGTTGTTCTTCTCCTAGTTCCACACAATAGGAATGTGGCTTCTTAACTCTGATCTCTGCTCTGAAGTACCAAGAAGCTATCCACGGCCCAGCCAGTTGCTGCTTAAGGAAATTTAGCAAATTGATTAATTAACTCCTGCACCAGTCATTGCATCTCTGGTCACTATTCTTAGAAACAACTGTGGCTTCTCTGCTCTCCTGCTGTTCACTCTCTGAATCTGTCCATAGAACCTAAAAGACACTTTAGTCACCTCTTTTACCTGGAGGGAACTGTCCAATGTGGCCCTTAGAATCAAGTATGCCCTATAGATAGCAATCTGTTTGACCCCAGAGGAACTTGTATGTTCATGCTCCTCTTCCCTTTTGGGCCGGTGCTGCCACTCAGCAATAATCTTCTTTTTTTCCTGTACTTTCTTAGATTCCTGTCCTCTGTCTATGAGGCTGGTTAGGATGCAAGAGTCTGGATCTTTTCATGCTGCACAAACTGAGCATGCAAAAAGCGTTTTTTTCCCCTGTAGAACATGTACCCTCTTGTCTCCAATCACCGGAAAAGAATTTGCAGATCAAGAACTCAGTTCATCCTGCCCCCATGCTGAGTTCTATCCTGGACAATCAAAAGCAAGTAGTGATGGTAGTATAGTAGAGTATACTGTACCAATGTAGGCTGTGAAGAAGTCCAATCTCCAGGGGAGTAGAAACTGTTGAGTGCTCCCTAGTTCCTACAAAACTTGGCAGAACCTGAGTATGCCGAAGAATCTTAGATAGCTGTAGTGTCACTAATATTTCCCAAACCTTATGAAATAAGTTGGCTTGAGTGTTCAGTGATTCAAGCCCATGCTAGCCAGGTACCTCTGCTAATAAGAGGGACCAAATCTCTGTTGGAAGAATAACAACTAGGATCGGTTAATTTATCCTTGTTTTGGTTGTTTTGTGGTTTTTTTTTTGTCAGTTTGTTTGCCTTATTCGTTTCTAAGTGCAATAAGGGAGTGTCTCAGAGAACTGCACCGGAGACATCCTGATTGGATGGCTCCCTAGGGCAAGGGTGGACAGATTTAAGCCCCTCAGAATCGTTAGCTCTGACCTTCATTGAGGTCCCTTTGGGACCAGGAGATGTCCATTACAGACACCTTCCTTTGTATTAGGCTCCTCACCTTGTAGGGTCTACACTGGACTTGGGGCATTTCACCTGCTGATAGCATAAATACTGGACTGGGAAAGTTGGAGAAGAGGCATTCCTACTGGAGAAATATGTAAATATTTTCCTACAAGCTCTGTATTACCTATTAATTATATTTGTGCTTAAAGATTTTACTTCTTCATTCATCAACTAGATAAATTCCAGAAATGAGGTATGTTGGAAGAAATTGATACTCTAGGCAGACAGTTGTTTAATGTGGTATGAGGGCCACCAATGTTCATCTCCTTCCGTTAGCTATTCTTTGAAACCCATACATATCACTATATCCATACATATTGACTATCATGGGGGCTTGCTTTGTATCTGCCTTTTTCTCTCGCTCTTCCTGCCTCTACCTATTGCCCACATTTGAAAGCATCCAAGTGAACTGAACTAGACTTACTGAGATCAGCCTGGATCTGGAGCTCCTGGCCACGTAAACATAAAGGAAGGACATCTCTGCTCTATTCTATCTCCATGGATGATGTTGCTGCTGGACAAAAATGTTGGCTTCTTTTAAGTACCTTCTCCCCTCTTCACCCACCCCCAACTGATGAGCACTCAGAGGGACTTATGATCAAAGGCTCAGCTCCAGGGATAATACCTGAGGGTGTGCCATGCCCCTTCAGACCAGCTGCTTCCATTAGATTTCCAGGGTCTTAATTCCAACTCAAAGCAGCAGTGCTTCACAAGAAGGCCGCTGGGCTCTGGCATTCTCACGGAGAGAGACCGGGGACAGGGTCAGTATTGTGGGCACATATCTATCTTTCCAAGTTTTCCTTTTACAGTCCCTACTGGGACTCCCTGACTTATTTTTGGTTGGTTCCTAGTGCTACTTCTTTTACAAACTACACTTTGTAGAACTGATTAGATTACCTTGTTTATTTAATGTGAGTTTGTGCCTTTTTGTCTCAATCTTCCAATACAGGTATATTGGGGGAAAAAGCAGTCTAATAAAATCCTAGACAGAGATTCCTGGAGTCCAGCTTATTGGTGATGTTCTTAGGTCCACTTTATAATTTAGATATCCTCAAATTCCTACTGATGTCCCCGATTTCGCCAAACCACAATTGGGAAAAGGTACAGTAGTGTCTCTGGGAATTTCTGTAGGTAAAATTTCAAACCATTCCCTTTGTTGATTTACTTATGCAACATTGCATATCTAAATGTAATACAGCCACTTTCTACTGGCAATATTTCATTTTTGCCTATCTCGCTTTGTCTTCAAACATCCCTTTTTGTCCACACTACCAAGATGTTTAACATAGAAGTTTTTTTGCTTCCTTCGTTAGTTTAGGTGTTTGTTTGTTTGTTTCTTTTTTTGATGGTGACAAGCAGTTTTTATTCCCCTTAGGGACAGGGTCTCTGTTGCCAGGGCTGACCTGAAGCCCTTGACCCCTGTGCTTCAGGCAGTCACCTGCTTCAGCTTCCTACTAGGTGGGAATATAGAAGCACTCTACAATGCCAAGCTAAATTAGAAATTCTTAATTGGATTCCATTTTGTCAACCTCTTAAGGCTTGTTTGTAAAGTTTGTGTTCGTTTTTCTGGGGAAGGTCATAGCTGTCAAAGGAATCTCATGCATTATCTCTTCTACCAACAACAAAAGACTTAAGGAAAGATTGAAGGAGGTCATAGTGAATCTTCGGCAAAGTAAAAATCACGTTCATTTTACGTGTAGTCGTGAATTTATACCAAACAGAAACAGTAACTTATTTTTCATTCATCCATGCCTAGTTTTCCAAGAGTCCTGGGACCCCAGAACGTCCCATGTGTAATACGTAAACCAAGTTCGAACAGCAAAAGCCATCCAAAAGAGAACTGAGAATGCAGGAGCTCCGTGACTAACGTGAGGGTGCCTTGGGAACTGAGGAAGTTACCTGCGAGGGGGAGGTGCCACCGTCAGGCCCGTGCCTACGCTGGGTGTCCCTACCCCAATCTGCTCCCTCGATCTGGGCGGGCCGGAGTAGGCCCGCGGGAAAGCAGCGCCCAAGTCTGCACTCCCGACTGAAGACTGGAAAGGGTGGGGCGGGGCGGGGCGTCAAGGCGACTTCCCCCGGAAGGCGTGTAGCGGCTCCGCCCCCTCGCGCGCCTTCCTTACTCGAGGCGGGCAGGTTCAGGCGTCGGCTCCCCCCACGCGGGCGGGGACAGCGGTCGCAAGACCCGCCTCCTCTTCCCGTGTCCGGGAGCCCTCCGGCTCAACGGCTGGCGGTTTCGCGCTCGTTGGAGAGTCCCGCCTCTCCTCCGGAGCTTCACCAGCCGGAGCCGTCTACGTAGAAAGCCCGCCTCTTACGGAAGCCGAGGCGGGCGGTCAGAATCCGGAAGAAAAACAAGCCGGCGAGAGGGGCGAACGAGACCTGCGCTGGAGAGGCTGCTCTGGCCTCCACCGGCTGGAGCGGGGAGACCAGAGCCCGCGGCGGGGCCACGGGGTGGGGATGATGGCGGCTGTCAACCAGCGGAAGCCGAGCGGACCCAAACGCACTAAGCTCAGGTGAGGCCACGCCTGCGAGCCGGCTGGTCCGCACCTGCCGGGCTGCAGGCCTGGGGCCGAGCAGCGCTGGGAGGGCGGAGGCCACTGGTGTGGCCGACCTGGTTCCGAGGCCTTCGCAAGTGTCCCTAGACCAGAATCCAGGAATGTATACTGGGCTTGAGCCTCGCGGCGACTCTACATTTACCAGGCCGCCGACCTCATTACCGTCGGGGCGCCCCAGGCAGGTGTCCCCATGGTTTCTGAGGAGGCAACTGTTGTAGACTATTCAGGGCAGAAGGTATTCGTCCCTGGGGTCTAGAATAGAAATGTTGTCGCTACGTTTCATCAGCACACACCCCCCCCTTGGAATCTGTCTGATCCAGAAAAGACCTCCGGATATCCGAAATCAGATTAAGATAAGATCCTTTAGTGAAGTGAAGCCTGGTCTCATGCCTGCTCTTTCACAAGCAACAGTGCTAATCACCACCGTAGCGTTAAGTCACAATGCCTGGATTTGCTGCTCATAACTGAACCTAAGAGTAAAGACACTCCCCCCCCCAAAAAAAAATCCGATTTCCATTTTCCGTCCAATTAGAGCGAGTGACTGTGAGGATTTGATGCTAATAGTCGAATCTGACAGAGTGGGGACAAGAAACCCCAACTTCTTAAAGCTAGTGCCTGGGAAAACAGGGAGCCTTAATTCTCAGTTGGACAGCAGGGGGAGATCGTAAACAAATGAATCTCACCGGGTTCTTGAGAAGGGTTTTTTTTAATTATTATTTTATGTTCATGCTCATAGAGAGGGACAGGATGTTGTTTTAAGCTGACCAGGAATTTCTTCAATTCGTGGCGAAGAGATTTATTTATTTATTTATTTGTTGGACGATATTGGTACTTTAATCCATTTGTCAAACCCATTGTTAGGCAGCTGCTCTAGCACTTAAGTCTTCCCTTCGGTTCCTGGTTTTTGCTTGTCTTTTGTTTTTTGTTTTACCAGTCCTGGGGCTTGAACTTAGGGTCTGGGTACTGTCCCTGAGCTTCTTTTGCTCAAGGCTAGCACTCTACCAGTTGAGCCACAGTGCCACTTCCAGCCTTTTCTGGTTATGTGGTACTGAGAAATGGAACCCAGGGCTTCATGCATGCTAGGCAAGCACACTACCACTAAGCCACATTCCCAGCCCAAGAAGAGATGTTTTACATCAATCTTCCACTCCTCTTTAATCCTCACACATACTGGATGTTTAGCTGCTTGCAGGTGCTTCCATACCTTCTCTCAGTTTTTGTGGAACTCATTGGTTTGGTGGCTATCTTGTGTGTCTGTGGGGCCTGGAGCTTCTGCTACATTGTCAGCACCATTTGGGCTTCCTTGGAGTGTTGCTGTAACTACTCATTTAAAGAATCTTCAGCCAGATGTCAATGGCTCAGCTGTCCCTCAGCTACTCAGGAGGCTGAGATCTGAGGATCATGGTTCAAAGCCAGCACAGGCAGGAAAGTTCATAAGACTCTTATCTCCAATTAACCACCAGCAAACTGGAGTGGTTCTGAAGCTCTAGTGGTAGAATGCTCACCTTGAGCTGAAGAGCTGAAGTACAGGGTCCTGGCCCAAAGTTCAAGCCCTATGACCAACAAAAAACAAACAAAAGAATCTTCAAGGGATTCCTCTTGGATGTCCCTCTCCAGATGGAGAGTTTCACTACTTAGAAAAGAAAAGACTTCAAATCTCCCCTGAGAGGCTGTTGGGATATAGTGTTATTGAGAGCTGCTGGTCTAGGCCTCTTAATTTGTGTGGAGTTAATAATGGAGAATATTATTATCTAACTGGTAACTTTTCCCAGTAGAGGGTAGGCTTTTTTTTAATTTTTATTTTTTATTGTTATTCTAAAGGTGAGGGTGACTCTTGAAAGAGATGTTGAGAAACCTGTTTGTAGCATTTCCTCAGGCTCCCTGAGGGTTTGGTAGAATTTGTTGTGTTTAGGGAGTCTGCTAGTTAGGAGAGAATGTTGTCGTGTTCTGTTTTTGCCAGTCCTAGAGTTTGAACTCAGGGCCTGCATGCTGGCCCTGAGATTTTTTGGTCAACACTACCGGTCTGCCACTTGAGACATAGCTCCACTTCTGGCTTTTTGGTGATTAGTTGAAGATAAGAATCCCACAAATATTCCTGCCTAAGCTGGCTTTGAACTGTAAACCTTAGATCTCAGCTTCCTCAGTAGCAAGGATTACAGGGACAAGCCACCAGTGCCTGGCTTGTTTTGTTTTTTTTTGTTTTGTTTTTATTTTTTTATTTTTTGTCAGTCGTAGGGCCTGAACTCTGGGCCTGGGCGCTGTCTCTCAGCTCTTCAGCTCAAGGCTAGTGCTCTACCACTTGAGCCACAGCACCACTTCCAGCTTTTTTGCTTATGTGGTGCTGAGGAATCAAACCTAGGGCCTCATGCATGCAAGGCAAGCGCTCTACCACTGAGCCACCTTCCCAACCATGGCATGTGATTTTTAAAATTTCCATCCTTATAGTTCTAAGGACTCTGACAGGTACAACCCCTGGCTTAAGGAGCAGTGGTAGGAAGTTGCTGCCATAGATGGTTGCTGAGGTATGGATAGCTGGAGAGCTAACAAATTGCTGACTATTCAGCCCATCCATCATCACTTCTAAAACCCTTTGGGTTTCTTTTGCACCAAGTTCTCCCCAGATATGGGCAGCTGTAGGCCTACATGGAGGAGGTTAGAGGGTAGAGGTTCCTATTTCAGGGGACAAAAGTGAAGACCAAGGGTTTACCAGATATAGAAATATATTTCCCACTATCACTGCAGTGGCAGCCATTAAGAGTTTTAAATCTTTGTCCGTTACCTAGACAAGATTTCAGCCTTCTTCTTAGCCTTCCTTTTGCATCTCTTCTACAGTATACATGTTGTGACATGGAATGTGGCTGCAGCAGCTCCCCCTAAAGACCTGAGTGACCTACTTCTCCTGAACAACCAGAACCTGAATCTGGATATGTATATTATTGGGTATGTATCTGCAGGATCCCATTCACCTATCCTGTATCCCTGGAGATGATGTCTACCATGAGGTACCATTGTAACCTATCCTTCCTTGTTTTGGAGTCTGAAGATGAAGGCCTTTCAACCTCATTGGGGCCAGCTTGTGTCTCTTGTCCTGGTTTAGCAATGGGAAGGGGTTGAAAGTAATGGGAGGGTCAGATCATGGCCATCAGAACCTAGGGTCTGGGTGTGGGCAGTACTAAATGTTTGTGGCAGAGGTAATATCCTCCTGACGAGGGGATGAGCCTCTGACCTGGAATGGTCAGTTTGCAGGAAATGAACTCTGGGATCATAAGCCTTCTTTCTGACACTGCCTTTGAAGACCCATGGAGCAGTTTCTTCATGGACGTACTTTCTCCTCTGAATTTCATCAAGGTAACTAAAGTGCATGGATGATGGAGAAGTGTGTCTTATCTTCTTCAACCCCCAGTTAAGTTTTGTGTGATAAGTTCTTCCTACCACTCTCATACTTTTTCCCGTTTATTAAAACATTTAATCATTACTGCATCTGGCTCCCTGGGGCTCCTGCCTGCTTGTGCTTAGTTTCACACATTGATATTTGTCCCCTTGGGAGAATTCTGGGAGAAGGTGCAACTGGGCTTATTAGCCGTACCTTCCCCTGCCCCACCCTCCAGCCTACTCACTGCCCAGCCTGAAATCTGAGCGCAATAATTGCTACCATTTATGAAGTGCTTACTTGGTGTTGAGCATTAGAAATTAAGATCTTTATGTACATTATTTTAAGATTTTAACTCTTGAAATTGAGTATTTTAAAGATAAAACTAAGGTTTAGAAATCACATGGGCTGGCAAGGTATGATATTACCTACCTGTGATCCTACAATTCAGGAAACAGATTCAGGAGGACTGAGTGATCCAGGTCTGCTTGAACTACATAGTGAGTCCTTGTCCCAAAAAGAAAAATCAAGCTGGGCACTGATGGCTTACACCTGTAATCCTAGCTACACAGGAGGATGAGACCAGGGGATTGAGGTTCATAGTCATCCCAGCAAGAAAGTCCTATGAGACTCTTATTTCCAGTTAACTACCAAAAAGCCAGAAATGGAGCTGTGGCTCAAAATTGTAGAGCACTAGCCTTTAGCACAAAAGCTTGGGATAGTTCCCAAGCCCTGAATTCAAGCCCCAGGAGTAGCAAAGGAAAAGAAGAAAAGAAAATTGTATAGGCTATCTGGAATCTTAACCTAGAGCTTTTCAAACTTTTTAAACAAATTGTTGTGGGTTTTTTTTTGTTTGTTTGTTTTGTTTTTTGCCAGTCCTGGGGCTTAAACTCAGGGCCTGGCACTGTCCCTGAGCTGCTTTTGTTCAAGGCTAGCACTCAACCACTTCAGCCTCAGCGCCACTTCTGGCTTTTTCTGTTTATGTGGTACTAAGGAATCAAACCCAGGCTTCCAGCGCCACTTCTGGCTTTTTCTATTTATGTGGTACTAAGGAATCAAACCCAGGCTTCATGCATGCTAGGAAAGCATTCTACCAATAAGCCATATTCCCAGCCAAAAATTGTTTTTGTTTTCATAAAGATGATATACAATGCCAGGTGCTGGTGGCTCACGTCTGTATTCCTAGCTACTCAGGAGGCTGAGATCTGAGGATCACGGTTCAAAGCCATCCTGGGCAGGAAAGTCCGTGAAACTCTTAACTCCAATAAATGGCCAGAAAACTGGAAGTGGCACTGTGGCTCAAGTGGTAGAACACTCACCTTAAGCTGAAGAGCTGAGGGACAGTGCGCAGGCCCAGAATTCAAGCCACATGACCGACAAAAAAAAAAAAAGATGATATACAGAGGTATTATAGTGCATAAAGTCAGGTAAACAATATATTTCGTGCCAGGGTGCAGAGGCTCACGCCTGTAATCCTAGCTACTCAGAAGCCTGAGGTCTGAGGATCACGGTTCAAAGCCAGCCCAGGCAGGAAAGTCCAAGAGAATTTTTTATTTTTTATGTTGCCTTCTCTGGGTGACTGATACTTCTTTTTTTTTGACTGATACTTCTTAGTACTTTTACTTTCAGTAGGAGTATGGCTGAAGTGGTAGGGTACTTGCCAAGCATGTCAAAAGATATATCATTATTGAAAAAAAAGATATATCATTTTTGTTTGGCACCACCAAACAATAGTGATAATTATCATCATTATCATCATCTGTTACTCTACTTTTCCTGAGGGTGCTGGAGCAAGAGCTCTGAGAAGCGGAAGACAAGATTTAGTCCTGATGAGACTATGCTAGCCCAAGTCCTTGGTTCTTTACAAACAGAGGCTCTTCTGTCAGACTTGGAGCTAGATCCTCACAGAGCAGGGGAGAACCATTTCCCTGTTACCACCCACTGCCTTCCCAAGACTGCAAGCCTCCTTGCTCCTTAGCTAACTGCCAAGGGATTGGTAGGATGGAGTAGAGCCAAGGAAATTAGCTCAGCTTGTGGCAGGGACACAACCCATTCCATCCGTGTGGCCTCCGAAGTTGGTAGGCTAGCCTGAGGGCTAGGCACCCAACCAGGATGCCCCTCCTTCCTCCAGCCACAAATTGAGGTGGACAGGCGAGTCTTCTTTATGGCCTGTTCTTGCAGAGGGGATTTGTAAACTATACATTGAGCCGCCTGGGGTTGACCCCTTTTGCTACTCCAAAGCTTCTACTACCTCCTGCCAGTCCCTCTTTAGCTCCTCCTACTTCACTCCTTCCAACTGGAACTTCCCTACAAGTCTACTGTTCCCCACAGCCCCACCCTTTCTCCCAGTCTGACTCTGTCCTGCCCTGAGCACATTCTCTCTGCCGCCTTCCCGCACATACACATACTATAACAGCTGCTGCTCTGCAAAGTGGAGCCCAGTGGCCTAAAATTTGTGGGTTAGGATTTAGCTTGAATCTATTCCTGAGTCTTTATCGCTTTTCCTGGCTCAGTCCTGACCCTGGGAGTCAATCATGCATAATGTATGCATATGAATGGCTGAGATGGAAGACTTGGAGTGGGCTGGGCACTGGTGGCTCTTGCCTGTAAACCTAGCTACTCAAGAGGCTGAGATCTGAGGATCACAGTTCAAAGCCAGCCCTGGCAGGAAAGTCTATGAGACTCTTTTCTTAAATTAACCACGAGAAAACCAGAAGTGGCACTGTGGCGCAAGTGGTGCTGTGGCACAAATGGTAGAGCACTAGCCTTGAGCTGAAGAGCTAAGGGACAGGACCCAGGCCCAGAGTTCAAGCCCCACAACCGGAGGGGGGCTGGAAAAATGACTTGGAGTAGAAGGTAGGGTTGAGGGCACATTTGTAGCAACCTCAGGCCAAACTTCAGATTCTAATGCCTCCCTTGCTCAGGCCTGAGTTCCGGGTTCTCCCTGCTTTGACTCCTCTACTGTGCTAGGGCTCCTGACCTGTGGAATCAAATTTCATAATTCCTGGAAGGCCCCAGTACATGCTCCCCACCCGGGGATTTCCTCCTTGGCCTCTGTACCTTATGCTCCGGAAATAGCTACTCAGGTAGTGGGTGTAGACAGCCTAAATCTAAGAGAGAGGGTCACTGGTTGTAGCTCATTCCCACCCCACTACCTATAGCGAAGATAGTAGGCATTTTGACAAACGTAGAATAGGATTGACTATTAGCCATTTAGACTCCTGAGTCTTAGTCTTGCATCTGTAAAACAGTGATTTTCCCAGAGAGTTAGGGAAAAGCCTAAATAAGCTACAAATTCCTTTGGTAGATGCTATTCTCCCCAAATTGCAGTCCGCTGTCCATACTGTCATCCCCGTGCCTTCATGGATTTCCAACCATGGCTTTATTGGGACACAGGGTTCTGTTGTGTATTCCAGGCTGGTCTTCTGTATATGTGCATGTGTATACTGGTATGTGTGCTATGTATCTGATACTGGGACTTGGACTGAAGCTCTCATGCAGCTTTTTTAAAAGCTTACAGTTGATACTTTACCAATTACCACTTGAGTTACACCTCCACTTCTGGCTTTTTGCTGGTTAATTGGAGATAAGGGTCTCTGGGATTTATCTGTCCAAGCTGCCTTTGAATGAATGTGATCCTCAGATATCAGCCTCCTGAGTAGCTATGGTTACAGGTATGAGGCACCTACAGTTTGCTTGGCTTGAACTCAATCTTCCTGCTTCAGACTCCTGAGTGTTGGGAATACACTACCACACCTGGCTTATTACATTTTTTTCCATTTTCATGGTTATAAACAATCTGTTTTATAGTGAGTTTTTTGGTATATGTGGTTGGGTTTTTTTTCAAAATTTTAAAATGTTTATTTTGTGGCAGAACTGGGCTTTGAACTCAGGACCTTTTATTTACTTGTCTTGTTTGCTCAGCTGCTGAAATTAGCATATTTCCCATTTGGACTTTAATGGGATTTTTCTACAGAGAATAAGATTTTCATATTAACATAATAATTTCAAAATAGATGTGTTACAGAATAGATTCTAAATGTAATATTTAATGCTATTATATTACTTGAAGTCAAAGGTTTACAGAAAAATTTAAATTTCAGATAAACTCTAATATTCTAATAAACATGTAGAAGAAATATAATTTAAAAATTCACAGTTCAAAGCAAACCCTGGCAGGAAAGTCTGAAAGACGCTTATCTGGAAGCAGGAAGTGGCACTGTGGCTCAAGTGGTAGAGGCTCCCCTTGAGCTGAAGAACTCAGGGATATATTTACACCCAGGTCCTGAGATTAAACCCCATGACTGACAAAAAGAAAATAAAATTTAAAGAATTAAAGCATTAGGGCTGGGAAGGAGACTCAGTAGTAAAGTGCTTGTCTTGCATACATGAGGTCCTGGGTTCAATTCCTCAGCACCACATAAGCAGAAAAAAGTGGAAATGGCTCTGTGGCTCAAGTGGTAGAGCACTAGCCTTGAGCTGAAGAGCTTATCATGGACAGCTGCCTCCAACCTGGCTTTTTGCTTGCTTTTTTTTTTCTTTTGAAATGAAATTATTAATTTTTCTGCCCCAGCTGGCATCAAACCATGATCCTCGAATAGCAGGGATCACAGGCATGAGCCACTGGCACTTGGCTTAGTGTTTTTTTCACTGAGCATGTACAGAAAAGAACAGAAAGTCAAGTGTGCCGTTTGTTAGATTTTTTTTTCCTGCAAATTCATACTGGTATTGACATCAGTGAAGTTAAGATTCAGAACATTTCTAGTACCCTAGAAGCCTTTCTTGTCTTCTTTCCCTTCGTTTAAGAATACTCAAGCCAAAAAAAAACATCTGTCAGATAATCTTCAAAGTATCTGTGGTATAGTATTTTTGTTGCTTTGTCCATGAGAAAATTGGCTTGTACTACTTGGGGAGCATTCAAAGCATCTCAACATGTAAAAGGAGCATGCAAGCATGTGTAGGGCTTAGCATTGAAGAATTGGTACCCTTTTGATGGCTGGGTATCCTGATGGCCTCCTCTCCTCCTCAACTTCTAGGTCCACTGAAACTTTAGCTCTGAGAATATACTGTTTGGCCACTGAGAGGAAAAAAGGAAAAAAATAAAACTCTTGAGTCTCAAATTGAGATATCATAGATGCTTGGGCAGGGCATTTTGTGTGTCTCAGGACTATAGATTCTCTAGCCTTTGCATAGCAGGAATACACTTAGCATATATAGTTTAATGAATAACTTTTGCTTTTACTTTGCTTCAGATCTCTCATGTTCGCATGCAGGGGCTTCTCTTACTGCTCTTTGCTAAGTATCAACATCTGCCGTTCATCCAGATCCTCTCGACAAAATCTACTCCCACTGGCCTCTACGGGTACTGGGTAAGGACTGAGCTGTTGTATTAAGCTTGAGCTAGAGAGGGTTGGGAGCATTGGAGCTGGGCAAAAGAAACAGGAAGTAAAATCTTGGTACTATGTCCATCCCTTGTGTTCTGCATGCTCCTCCTCCTTCAGAGGGACCTCAGACCCCAGGCCATGTGGATTGAGTTTTGTGCATGGAGAGATTACCATGGGACCATGAGAAGTGTTAGATGTCTGTCCCTGGGAGATTCTAGGGGAGATGAAATTGTCTCCTCTCAGACCTAAAATGGGAAAAGAGGGTATGTCCAACCCAGAGTAGCTTCTCAGACTTCTGCCCACCTGTCCTACCAGGGAAACAAAGGAGGAGTCAACATCTGCCTGAAACTTTATGGCTATTATGTAAGTATCATCAACTGTCACCTGCCTCCCCATCTATACAACAATGACCAGCGGTTGGAACACTTTGACCGGATCCTGGAGACACAGAATTTTGAGGGATCTGCTATTCCCAACGTCTTGGATCATGAGTGAGCCTGGAGTTGCAAGCTGCCACCCCTGCCCTCTCCCCAGTACCAGCCCAGGCTAGCATCATCTGTCCAGTCTCTGCTCCCCAACCAGTCAGTAGTGCTCCATCTTCTGCCCTTCCCGCTACTCCTCCCCTGATATATCCCATATGCTTGCTCACCCAGCTTTGCCTACCTGGGGTCCCTTTCCTCTAGCCCCTCTCTCTAGAATGCCTAGGTGCTTCTAAATATCCCAGGTCAAGAACCTTGTGGTCCCCAAGATCACCAAGAGGGCTTGTTTTTAGCATGCACTGCTGGCCAGTTGAGAACAGAAGAAAGGGCTAGAGCCTGCTGCACATTTGCCATATACCCCTCTGAACTGTTCTCTTTGGCGTGAATGATGTATATCATCTTGAGATCAGTCCTACTGGTCCCATGCATGTTCTTGCCCTCGCCCGATCCTTTCCTAGCATCTAGCTTCTTGCTGGTACCACTTTCAAACTTTCTACTTTCTACTCCCCAACAGCCCTTGGATTGGATAGACTAGAGCCACCTATTGCTCCCCACTTTGCTGACCTCATTGCAAACCTTGGGCTGCCCCCTTTTCTTTTTGAAGCCTTATTCTGTGGTTTGGAGACATGAACTTTCGGATTGAGGACTTTGGCTTGCACTTTGTCCGGGAATCCATAACAAATAAGAACTTCAGCCAGCTGTGGGAGAAGGATCAGGTATGAAGTGAAGGGAGGGTCCCTGGAAATAATCTGAATCCACTGCAGAGGTCCATATGTAAAGTGTAGAGAGCAGTGCTCATATTTCCTAATGGGTGCCCTTTTCTCCTTGGTAGGGAGCAGATCTACCAGAGTTTCCTATGTGGGGGGGATAGCGGAAGGGCCATCCTGTCAGTACCTAATCTTCACCTGTCACCTGGAGGAGCTGCTAGTGCACTCTAGGAACCCAAAAGGGCTTTATGCCCCATACCATGCATCAGCCCCCTTGTATCCCTGTCCTCTTTTCCTATCCTACGCCTTGTTTACCTCCTAGAGGATGAGATACTATCCCTTTGCCCCCCCCCCCCCAGGTTTCCCTCTAACACAAATCTACTAATGGCCTCCAGAGAGCAAGAATTCAGAGTCGGCTTCCTATGTTCCAAAGACTAGGAAGTGACAGGCAGCTGCTCTGTCTGTGCATGTGGGGATCATATTTCCAGAAAGATTCTCCCAGGAGAGAAGTTAGTTACTGTGGTGGCCATAGGGGCAGTAAGAAAATGAAGTGTGATGCTGGGCTCATGGGTCAGGACTGTGGGGCTATGGGAGCTGTGTCTTTTATCTATAGCTTAGAATTGCCAAGAGAGATGACCCACTGCTCCGAGAGTTCCAGGAGGGTCCCCTGCTCTTCCCACCCACCTACAAGTTTGATAAGAAGTCCAACAACTATGATACCAGGTAAGGAGGAAATGGATCCCAGGAAGTGGGATTATGCTAGTTCCAGTGGCAGCAGGAACTCTCCCAAAATAGAAGTGTTAGGGAAGCAGGAATAGCTCTAGATATCACTTCTCAGGAGTCGCACCTCTGGCCCCCAACTTGAGGTACTGACTGTAAGAGCTGTCCTAGATTGCCTAAGAGAAAGCAGAGGGGAAGCTGCTGCTTGCAAGGTTGGGATGGTGGCAGGAGGAGCTGGAAGAGACAGGGGAGGCAGCCCTGCATTGAAGGGAAGTTACTCCAGCTTTCTGGCAACCATTGCCTCTACTTCCCAAGGCCACCTTATCCCCAGATGGGTCAAAAAGCTTGGCTTAGCTAATGACTTACATTAGTATCCTACCCCAGCCTGGGAATGGGTCAGATACTATGTGAGAAGATGAAGAACAGTGGAAAACTTCATAGGGAACAAGAAAGAGACAGTCCTTACAATGCTTTCAATCTTATCAGCCATCTGACCCTTGGACGAGGTGTTTAAACCTTGGTATTGTCATCCATGAAATGGGGATAATAACGGAACACACCCCTGGGGTTGAGGGCTAGAGGGGGCCTTACATATGTTAGCCCAGTATTTGACACCCACTTATTATGGGTGATAATCGCAATTGTTACTTTTACATTTGTGTCTTTAGGTAGTAATTTTACTATATACTTTCCCAAGAAGCTGATATGGGGCTTGTTAATCACCAAAACTTGACACTTAGATGAAAGGGCAAAAGCATCACTGCCAACAGGCCTCTGATCCACTTTAGAGCACAGAGACCCTATTCTCTTAGAAAAAAACATTTTCTTCATTTCTTCCAACAGGGACTTTCTTAGCAGGGAGGTGAGCCTGCAAGGTAACCCAGGTCCCTGGAAGTTACGGGATGATTAGGTATCCACAGTAGGCCAGAACTACAGACTATAGAACTACAGGCTAGTTCTGGAAGTGGCTTATTAGCAGAGCCAAAGTACCCTGGCCAAGGAAAGCGAGAGCTAGTGAACCATTTCAATGTGGAGCAAGATAGGATGGGGCCATAGCCAAGGCAGCTGACACAAAGAAGCAATGAACTCTGGAGACAGGGAGCAGCCAGGGCAACAGAGCAAGCAGGAAAGGAGGTAAGAGGGCAGGTTCCAGCTGGCTGATGGGTCCACACAGACATTAAAAATTAGAGTCAACATAGAGCTGGTGCTGGTGGCTCACGCCTTTAATCCTATCTACTCAGGAGGCTGAGATCTAAGGATCACGGTGAGTCACTGGTGCCCAGCTTCGGAGGGCCTTTTAACATGCAGCTTGCCAAGCCAGGCACCAGTGGCTCACACCTGTAATCCTAGCTACTCAGGAGGCTGAGATCTGAGGATCACAGTTCAAAGCCAGCCCGGGCAGGAAAGTCCATAAGACTCTTTTTTTTTTTTGGGTCCCGTTGTGGGGCCTGAACTCTGGGCCTGGGTGCTGTCCCTCAGCTCTTCAGCTCAAGGCTAGCGCTCTACCACTTGAGCCACAGCACCACT